TGCTACTAAATTCTATCACGAGATAGATTCGGCAAGTTATGCATTGCTCAGAATCTCCCCGACGTTGTGGATGAAGGTTCTATTATTTTCTAGCGAGGCGCCATCACGATTATGGCTTCCTCTGTTCCATCACTGTTTAAAAAACACATCGATGTAGCACTTATGCTCAGTGCGAAAGTCGGGCCTAGAGTTAAGGCGATGAAGCTTTGATCAATCGGATAGTCTTATTCGATGACAATTTCTGACCGTGTCAGACAAACGGTCCAACTGGGGAGGCAACAACGTCTTATTTTTTAAATGAACGTGCAGTGCGTCGTAATCTCTGGCTTCCTCACACTGTCAATAGAAACACTGACAGCACGTTCAGCAAGGTCATCTCTATCGCAAAACGTCACTGCGTCGCCGTCATCATAGTTTGACTTGCTCTTTCCACTCCCTTGATTGCTTTCAATCGAACTACTCCGCCTTTGAGACGAATAGTACGACTCTTTGGACGACCTGAAGATGTCATGACGCTCAGCAAGGATCATGGCGATATGTGGGACCAACTTGTTAAAATTCACATTGCCGCTTTTGGCTCTGTATTCGTGGCGGCCGTCTTCGACTCGGTGTCGCAATTCGACTCGCCAGAGTATACTAGCTCGAGGTCGTTTTATCGAGGCCACGCGATGCATTACCTCGTGATCATACACCAGAAAATGTAGCAGCCAAAGTGTCGCCTGCTGCGTTCACAGCCTTTGCATTATCCACCACAGCGGATCGTAGTAATATTACTGCGTTTCCAGCATCTTTGGCTACAAACTGCATGGACTCGTATCCATACGGGGAAACGAAGTAATGGTTTTTTTCCAATAAGAGGAAACATTTACAATATCTATTTATTGGAGTCACTCATTCATTAATCAGTCACTTAGCGAGTGATCGTTAGTCGGGGTGATGGAACAAGTGTCTCCGTTACGTTATAGTTCACACAAGATAAATATCAAGTACGACTTTTATGTTAGGACAAACAGAATATTCTCACGATATTAGCTTATTAAGCAATATTGTGTTACAGAAGCAATACACTGTTCATCGGTTACTTCGGGCCAATGATACCAACCGATAGAGCGGAGCCACGACAGAAAAACACAATGAGTGGTGGGCAGGTGGTTTCAATACATGTTTGTATTCATGTATAATTGAGCGAAGACTAAATATATTTCATTGACAATAAATTATCGATACTGTATTCAGTTCTAAATTTACCATTTTCTCGTTTTGACCCTTCCTCTGCACGAAGCGCGTAAGTGAAGTCTCGAGGCACCACCTTACTCTGTGTTCAGTGTAAATAGATTGTACCGTGACAGTTCAGGCGACCAGTACCCCTTTACACTGGAGCTCGCTCTTGATACAAGTAATCTATTACGGAGAACTAAGATTAAATTGCAAACACTATACAGCATCAGTCACTGTTGAATGAGCATGATGCTCTTAATGCCTAAATAAAATCAGAAGCATTCTCATTCAAGGCAATCAGTCTTGCTTATAGTTGACCAGTTTTTTTTACATAGTATTATTCACCTTTGGTCAATTTTACGCCAATCACGTGTGTGCGTCACTACAGAGACTTATCCAGATATCGACTGTAAATGAACAGTCTTCCCTCCATAAGAACCCCCCCGATAACTTATTACCTCTAGTAGGTTATCGATTTCGGCGTCCACGGACCTTGTTTTACATCCGCTAAGTTTCAAGTATTGAGTGATGATCAAGTAGGGCATCATAAATTACAAATGAGCATTCGTTTTCGTATCAAATAAAAATAAAAACTTCTTGGACCACATGTCGAGGGTGATTTAAGTGGTGGGAGTGTTACAAAGATCAAGCTGGAGGATTAAAAGAACTTTATAAGCAGCTTGGTGAAGTTTTTGGGATACTTCAAGCAGGAAGTAGGCTTCATGAAGAAGATTAATCTTATCGGTTCTATAATGTTTTCTTCTGCGACAGGTGCCGCCCCTTCACTGTTTTCCTCATCATCATCTGCCTCCAAACATTTATTAGAATCTCGTTATCGGTTTGATCAGACTAAGCAGTCTCATCCTCTTCGATGAGATCGAGACGCTGCGCAATATTCATGGGACCTCGGACACGCAGCTTCTTGAGCTGTGCTATGGGCGCTTGCTCCAGCTCAATTTATTCTCCTCGACCTCAGTTGCACCACCTTTACTATTTCCTTTCCCACTGCACATTAAACACCAAATTCGTAGAGAAAAGCTTTGTGTAAATGAAGCAGTTGTAAATGGTACTACTTGAAATCTTGTTCCAGGCAGCCACCGACCAGCGCGTGGAAGTAAGTTAAGCAATTTTGTAGATGTTAAAATTCTCCTTAAGCTCGTCACATTCGATCGCATAATACAGATGGTGACGGCAATACCGCCACTTGAACGCTGCGATGACACCAGCATCCATCGGCTGAATAATGAAGGTCATGCGTGGTGGAAGCAGTAGGAGCAGCTAGAAATTGACATTAGTTAACGCAAGACATCCATCATATGAGATGGAGCATTGTCACACAATAGAAGGATATTTCTACTTGATCTGAAACATTACAGTATTATAACAATAGGTTTTCTGATTTCAAATGGGTGCGCACCTTCGTAATTTTGTCCGGATTTGCAAGTTATTACTATAAGAACACGCCCATCATCCAAGCCTTTGGATTGTTGCGATAGTAAAATCCAGTGCTTGACCTGATTTCTTGTCAGAGCAGCAGGGCTGATTGGCCTTCCCAATAAAAAAAGCTGCGGATTATCAGAGCCATCATAACTTGCAGTGAGCGCAATTGTAGTTCGCGACTGCAGAGGATGTCAGTCCATACCTCCGTGTTAGTATAGGGCAACAAGCATGCTGCAATATACTTACCTTGCTCTTTTGTGTCATCCAATTTCTGTCTGTGCAACAGTCCTTACAGGTATTATGCTGTAGCATATCACTGTGCTTAATTTTGTCAAACTCAGTCTAAATTAGAGATATAGCAAGCAAAATATACCGGTTTCATCCATGTTGTAAACATCACACAGCGCGTACTCTGCGATGACATTCTTTAACTCAGTCAGAGAATTATTCATGGCCTCCACGTCCACCAGGCCGCTTTCACCATAGATGTTGATAGCGTGGAGCATGTGAAGTTGCTATAATTTTATGAAGTCATCCGTGCGAGAAAGTGATGGCGTCGTCAGGAGTACGAAGCAATTGAGCAAGCCAATGATCCTTTGAACAGATGATATCCCCGGTAATAATCATTCTGAAGTGTTAACATTGCAGGACCCAGAAAAACACAGATTTTTCCAGTACGGAATGTTGAATCAGCCGCTGTCGCTTTTCATTCAGTCTGCTTGGATCCCTATTTTTTAGATTAGACCGCTTTCGAAAGACCTTGCTAATTGATGCCTGTGACAGCGTTTTGACAAGGCCGAACTCCACTTTCGCCAGTGCCTTAAAGATAAATCTAAGCTCTCATCCTTGTCTTGCATATTTGCAGACGTTGCTTATTGGTAAGACGGATCTGCATCATTCTATACTGCTCAGCCATCGCACCAAAAAACAGGCAAGACACAGTAGAGAAAAGGAATGCATGTGGTTTTCCCTGTGTAATAATAGTAGCTCAGAAGAAAGAAGATACGAATGCTTATCATACCTTGGGGTAGATAGCAAACTATCCAGGAGCATGAGACTTTTGTTCCTTTCCAGCAGTGAAAGCCTAAGGGATGGACTTCAGCTTGTACTTAGAGGGAAGGGGGGGGTTGGTTTGGGTGCCCAGGTCCGCTTTTTTATTGCTCGATTGATTAATTTCTGCATGATACACAAAAATCAAAAAGCTGTAACCTTTGCTAAATTGTGGTAATTTTCGTCCACCGCACCCATAACTTATCGGAGGGAAGACTGTACCGACATTCCAATGAGAAGGGGACAGGCTACGTCGCACTTAGTGTCTATAGAATACACCTAACCGTGTTTCCTACCAACACACCGAGACAGACAGACGGACACCCATAGATGAGTACGATTTAAAAGCCCGGCATTCAACCTTGCGCACACTCACTAAAAGTTTCACCGATTGAGCGCGCAATCAAGTTGAGAGATGCAGCTTTGGCCGAGGCATATTGTAACGGGGCACCCTTGGTTTGGGGTGCCGCGAAACTTCACAAATACAAGAAAGTGCAGAAGAAGTTGAATTACTTGATCGACTCGATCAAGTAAGGTAAAAAGAGAATCGTATTTAATGTAGTTAGCCATCAATATAACTTCAATTTTTATCTAAATATATTAAACTACGTGTCGTATGACGACAAGGTGCTCACCACTCATTACGTGCGTCTAGCAGCGATTGGTGGTAATCTATGGTTGATAAGTCTTATGCCAACCAATCTTGGAGCAGCGCATGAATACTATCCATCTCAGGAAATATTGGTCGGATATTGTCATGCTAGACAATATCCTTGTTGACACCGTCTGGTATCAATATCATGTAACGGGCTCCCCGTTACATCACCCCCCCTGACCACCAATCACCCATTGATTGAGCTAGAGTTGATTGGGACAGGGTGACCTCCGTTGGATCACCCTGGAAAAGGGAGCACTTGTTGGTCAAACTCCATTCATTTGCTAATCCAACGCATAGCTTCGAAAATCACGCAAGCTGCTACTGCAGCAGCAAGAAGAGCGGCTGCACGCATGCGTGCGGACGCGGAAAGTGCCTCTCACGCCTCAGCAGCAGGCGATTCGTCGCCTGTTGTCGTAAATCCTTTACGTGGTGAGTCACCACGTGCGAAAGGTACATCCGGTGCGTCTGCAGCGGGTACCGCGGGTTGTAATCAAGACGAGGTGAGATACAGCTCCTCTATTTCGGCGAGGCGGACGATGCATCCGACTCGAAGGCGACTCCTCACGCCTCGGGATCACCCGGGGTGGACACTGCAAGATCCAGGCTGACTGGATCTGGTCAGTGCGGCAGTATCATGACCGAGACCTTCGGATTGAGTGATTACTCCGATGAGTCTCCGCCTCACGCAATTCCATCCAACAACAGGACGCGTGGAGATGGTGGTGATGCACCTATGCATCACCACGAGCGAAGCAACTCAAGGGATTGGGGTAACATTGGTGCAAGTGCTCATGCTGGCACCAATCAAGAGGCCAGGGACCAAAGTGTTTTGCGCAACGCTTCCCATGTGGAGTCTCCGTGGATGCTGCCATACAGAAAGCTGAATCGGTTGGCCGGCACGACTACCGAACGGGATCGAACCCTGTTGTTCGATTGCAGGAAGTTCTGCTCACCTAATTCCAGCCCGGAAAGTATTTATCGTGCTGAGGAAGAATTCTTCACCGATGCGTTCTTTAAACATCGGTGGTACAATGGCAGCCGTGTTCGGGGCGGCAAAGCCTTGGTGCAGGGATGGAATGCCCTCATCCACAACTTCGAGTGTATTGGCCGTGAGGCTTGGCTCGCCAAACTTGATGCAGCTCGCATCAGGTTTGAGAAACGCAACTCCGTCGGGGCGCGATACAAGCTGCACCGGTTTTCAAAAGAGTCAGGATTACCCTGTCTTTTGTGGGTTGATTCGTTTCCAGGTTGCCTGGACAATTTGGATCGTGCCGCTAGGGAGGCCTATCAACCTAATGATTCCTGATGGAGGGCGCGCATATCTTCCGAGATGGACGAAGAAATCGACACTTTGCAATACCTGTACTCGCGTTCGGGGAGGTCGTTTTCCGACGGCCCTTCTTCGAACGCAGCGGGTGGGTCTCGTCATATCGCTTGATGAGACCCAGGCCAACAATACTCATCTGGGCACGAGGCTCACAGCTGAAGCAGGCCGGTAAATAGCCACGCCAGCGGACGAGTAACTCTTCCGGACGCCGATCACATCGCGGTGGTCCAAAATACGCTCCACCAGAAAGCGTTGACCACCGCTTGAGTCCACCAAAGGATGTGGTGGCGGTGGGAACACCCGATCTGGCTTGAGGGTCGGATCAGGTTAATGTTCATAAGCTGAACCGTCTAGCATAATAGTTGCAAGATGACCTGGCTCATGAACGATCTCAGCATTATGGCCTTGAGGATCTTGTGAGGGATAATTATAATTCCCTAACGCACGATCGTTCGGACGATCTTGCCGCTTTTGCGTTCGCGCAACTTGAGAACGAACGTTCGACTCGTTCTCTTCGTGACGAGCGGACCGCAGCTCGTCGAGACTCAGCTGAGCTGCGTGAACAGGTCGCATCGCTAGTCTACAGACTGGTTCGTTGAATGGGCTCGTACTGATAGTACGGGCAGAGACGACCAACGTGAAACATAGAATGCGTGCGCATCTTACGGGGCAGTTCAACCGTGTATGTGTTGCCCATTCGGCGCAACACTCGAAATGGACCGATGCACCTGGGCAGTAATTTACTGCTGTCCACGTTTGTCACTGCGTGCTTCGGAAGGTTTACTGTAGACAGTAAAACTAGGTACCCTATATCAAATGAAAGAACATTTGCTCTTTTATGATTGTCTGCGTTTATCATGTCTGTCCAGTGTATCTGCAATAGAGTCTTTGACGAAGCAGACAACCGCTTCGCGAGTAGCAGAAATTATTCTGCTGATTCATCCGTGTCAACAGCAGTGAGCTTCGTGTGCACTGCTGAAAGAACGTTGTCTTCACCAGCGAGGGTATCATCGTCCTAACTTTGGTAGTTATAGGCGATGCTGAATATGCCAGCATCGTCGTCATCGTCATCATCGACATCGATCCCATCGACATCGGCACCATTGTCGACGGGTGATGAGCAAGAACCAGATCGGTTTTTGTTTGAAAGATTCCCCCCCCTTAAACTAGTGTCACACTCTAAGAAGGCGGTTAAACGTGAATGGCGGAGGCCATTCACGAAGAACGTTGTATGCTTCGTCGACGCATGCACCGAGTTGTTATTGGCAAATTCCGCCATCGGCAAGAACTCACTCCAACTCGTAAACGAGTGGACATACCCTCGAAGTATCTCTTCGAGAACGCGGTTGACGCGTTCAGTTTGACCATCTGTATCTGGATGGTCAGAAGTAGACATCTAAAATGTGGTTCAAGTGAACGGAACACGGATTGCCAGAACTCCGCTGTAAAGCGAGGGTCTCTATTGGACACGAGTTCAGGGGGTAACCCGTGCAGTTGGAAGATAGTATCGATGAAGACACGCGCACAGCACTGTGCTGTGATTGACTCCGGTACTGCAACAAGATGTACCATCTTGCTGAACCGATCAACAAACACAAGAATATCCGTATTCTTATAAACGTCTTTAAGAAACCCGAAGACGAAGTCCATCGATACGAACAGCTAGCACTCTGTTGGAATCGGAAGAGGCTGTAAGGGTACCCGGGATGAAGGACTAGGCCTCATCCGTTAGCAAACTTCGCAAGCACGAATGTATTTCCGCACAATCTCATACTGGCGGGGCCAGTAGAAGTCACTACTCACCGTGAGGTAAGTCTTTTCTCCACCGCGATGGCCACTTGCTGGGGCATCGTGACACTCATGCATGATGCGCAATCGCAAATCATTATGAGCCGGAATGACGACACGAGATGTGTCGCCGTTGACGGCTGTATAGTACAGCAGTCCATAGCGGACAGAATACCGTTCGCTTGAAGAGCGGTATTGAGACAACAAGTTTTTCAAAGCTGGACTGCACGGATTGGATACGTAATCCATAAATCGCAGAAGAGACTCATCTTCCGTTCTTGCTTTTCGCACGTCATCGAGCAGATTCGACGACGGATCACTTACTGATAGTGTTGCTACAGTAGGATCACCCCTACTTTTGGGTTGAGCAGTCGACTCGAAATCGGGCCGACACGAAAGAGCATCAGCAACGACATTAATTCGTCCTGGTTTGTACTCGACGGAGAAGTTGTACTCCGCGAAGAAAGACAGCCAGCTCGCCATTCGTTGCGAGGGGTGTGTACTTTTACGGCCGTGCGTAACGACGCATGGTCGGCATAAACGATGAAGGGCCTATCTCATAAGAGATATACCCGAAACTTTGCCAGTGCATATTTCATGGCAAGAAGTTCCTTGTCATGAACCGGATAATTTCGCTCAGCTGCTTGCAGCTGACGCGATTGATAACAGACGACGCGCTCAACGCCGTCGGAGTCATACTGCATTAACGCGCAGCCGATTGCAAAATCGCTGGCGTCACAGACCACATGAAATGGCCTATCTTGATCTGCAATCGCCAACACAGGCGATTGCACCAACCATTTTTGATGCCTTAAAAATAGTGCTGACACGCAGCGCTCCATGACCACCTCTCGTTCTCTTTAAATAAACGAGAGAGATGTGTAGTCATCTCGGCATAGTTGCGCGAGTATTTGTGCAGATACGCCACCGATACAAGGAACTTTCGAAGTCCCTTGACGTCGACTGGCACAGGCCAGTCGCTAATCGCCTTGATCTTTTCTGGATCCGGGCGTACACTGTTTTTACCCACGATGCAGCCAAGAAGTGGTATTTCGTTCGCTGCGAATAAACACTTCTTGAGGTTCGCGAACCACTTATGCTCTCGCGTTAGGGTAAAAACCTTCCGGACGTGGATTCTATGAACCTCCACGTCCGTCTTTCCATCCATAGCCCGGCTATGGACGAATACATCGTCGAAGTAACTCGGTGCGAAGTTGCGCACCTATCGCAACAGATTCGTAACACATCTGTTGAACGTGGCAGGGGCGTTACTTATCCCCTGTGGCATCACTAGCCACTCCCAGACCAAACCTCTGGGCGGGGTGCTAACTGCTGTGTATGGGATACCACGTTCACGCATGAGGATCTGATATAATCCATATATCCGATCCATGGACGAAACGATGGAACTTTTTCCATACCATCTATGGTGACGTCCTTCCTCGGTATCGGCGTTTGAGCCGGTACCGTTGCAGCGCTCAATTTGTTGAACGCGTGCACTATCCGCCACCCTCCTGTTGCTTTTCGCACACAGAAGGTCGGAGAGCTGTGTGGGGATGTTGATTCCCTCACATGACTAGCCGCTAAACGATTGGAAAAGAATTTGTCGATCGCTGTGACCTGTTCACGAGGCAGTGGCCACTGCTTCATGACACAGTACTTCGAATCGTGTTTCTGTTCAATCTCATGCCGAGTGCCTTTGTCCTATGGCAGCTAGCATGGCACAAATTCAGGTAAACATCCCTGAATTCAACTACATTCTTGTACAAAGGATTTGTCTTCAAAGACTTCGAAGATTGAGACGTGTTTCGCTCAATCTAGGATTCTCATCGAGGACACTCTCGTCCATAGATCAACTACAGAGAACCCGTTCGTTCTCAACAACACTTGTGCCGACCGAATATCGGCGACGTACTCGTCCTCTGTGACGAGTACTCAGATCTGCTTGATCTTGTCACGACGCAGATCTCGCAAGAATCTTTTAGATTCTAGCGTTGATAGCTTGACCACCTCCGAAGCTGACTTCGGGGGCGTCACCAGATCAAGTGTATAAGTGCCTACACTTGATCTGTCATTCACCAAGACATTCACTGACTCGGTGATATCCTGAAAACACATCCGCAGGTGGTTTGGGAAATCACACCCTCAACATAACTCTCTCGGGAGTTATCACTATCAGGAACGCTGGATTTTTCTTTCGTTACGTGTACTACCACGGTCACGTCCTCTTCAATTCACTCTCTGATAGTCGATTTCGCTTCAACGTGTTAATCATCCTGAACAACACTAATCTCTCTTCTCGTATGCACCCGTCTTGGTGTGCATCCGTGTTCCAGTACACTCGATCTTTTCGAGTGGTGGACTTTCGGCGCAGCCTGTATCTCTACAAAGGTGCCGGAAGCTGGTTCCATAGTGTAGTGGCCTTCTACACTGTGGTCTTGTGCATTTGTACGGCTGTGCCACAAGTTAGGCCATCGCACTTACCCGTAGTACATCCACACGCTCGAAGACGCTCCAAGTCGTTCATCAGATGGCCATCCGATGAGCAAACGGTAGACATCTTCACGGATCGATGCTGTCAGCTATCCCACGGCCGGTACTTTCTAAGCCATGGCAGACCAGGGATGACATCAGATATGTCATTTAAATTTAGTACGATGAAGTCGTCATCGTACTGTTTTCCTTCTAGCGTGCAGTGGATTTCCACTACACGCTTGTTCACTGTTAACGGATGCACCTGTAGCAAGGCAAACCGCCATCCTCGTTGGAGGGAACTCTCGCTCAACACATTTGAGACTACTATCCCTAAGCGACTGGCGTCGAATAAAAATGTTCGACGCACCACAGTCAACTAGGGCGCAAAGTGACATTCCACTTGTCAATTCAATCTTTAAAATGATGAGAGACTCCTTATCACTATGGGCAGTGACCCACAGCGACTGTGTGTTGGGAGAAATCTTCGTCAAGATTCCTGCAAATTCTCTTGACGTTGCGGGATCAGCAGGGTGCTCCGCCCCTACTGACCCTGACCGTTTTTTTTACGGTCCGACTTGCTGTCGTGGCTTGGCGACATGGTCGGACTCACGCCTCGGACCCTTCTTTGGCCAACGGCGGTCATCACGTCCTGTTTTCGGACGTGTCGCAGTGCTCGGGACACTTTACGCATGAGCGTAGTGTCCAATCTTCTGACAGCGGTGGCATCTTGCCGTTCGCTTGTGACTCAAAGAGCGAGCGTTCTCGCTCTCGATGTAACAGAGGTCCATTGGTTCGGGATCTCCTGTTTCCTGTCGCCTCGTCGGACGATAGCTGGACGAGTAAGCCTGAGAATGTCTCAGGCTGAAGTCTTCTTGTTCCGCATACGCTGTCGCCCTTTCCAGCGTATGGAAATCCTCTCGGAACATGTAGGTCTTCACCGGCCCATCTACAAGGCCGTAGATGAACACGTTGATGAGCGTGTGCTCATCAACAGGGTTCTCCGTGACGCTACTCGAAAGGTAGCGCAGGTGCTGTGCGTAAGCATGCACATCACGCTTACCTTGCTTGATCCTCAAGAGTGCAGAGCACGCTCTGCACTCGGCTATCGGCGGCTCAAACGTCTCTTTGAGCCGAGAATTCAAGATCTATAACGACTAAAACGCTTTTGGGTCGTGAAGCTGGAGCCCTAAGTCCCAAGTCTTTGCTCGTCCTGTTAAATTTGACAGGGCAAAGGTGACTTGCATCTCGTCACCCTCGATGTGACGGGCGGTGATGGCGTCTTCTAACTCGACGAACCAACTCAAAAGGTAATCTTAATTATTTTTCTTGTACCTTGAGATATCTATCTTTAAGGTTTTGGGTCGACGCAAGTGCGTCGGCCCGCTCATCGACTGATGAGAGCCATGCTGCTGTAGCAAGACTATCTTCTGTCTTTCGACGGCAAGTCCCCCTTGTAGGAACTTGTTGATAGCAGCATGTTGCTGGTCTCTGCTTATAGACTCCAACATACCATTGATGGCGGGTTCGCCCATGAGCGCACTCATGCGGCCGACTACCTCCCATCTGAGTCACTCAGATGGGAGTAGCCTATACGTGTGACGTGAAAGCTGTCGTCTTCTGAGTCCAACATGTTCATGTTGGCCGGACGCTAAGAAGTCGTTGGACGGACTATGAAGTGCTACCAGGTGTAACGGGGCACCCTTTGTTTGGGGTGCCGCAAAACTTCACGTACACTAGTACGTGCAGAGGAAGCTAAATTACTCGAACGACTCGATCAAGTAAGGAAAAAATAACTGTATAACTTATAGTTAAGCTATTAATATAACTTCAACCTTTATCGAATTATGTTTGTAACGGGTTGAATCGTTACATAACAATTTATAAGAAATTGTTAATAGAATATAACTATAAGAGTTATATTCTCAGAATATTGTCATAAGGACAAATATTCTGTAGCACTTACGAGTAGTCCCTAATTGGTTGATATAGGACATTATATTAACCAACGAAGACGCGCCACGACAGGCGCACGCAATGAGTGGTGAGCAGAGAGTTGATTTACACATTTGTATTTAAACATAGTTAGATGAAGATAAATAGTGATTTATTGCAGACACTAACTATGATAAATACAGTTCTACTTTTTACTTTAACCAAGTACTCGCTTCTCCTTACCGTCTTCCTCAGCACGTACCAGTGTACGTGAAGTTACGCGGCACCGCCTTATTCTGTCATCAGAATAAGTAGCTTGTACTGTCATCGGTACAAGCTTCAGAGTGCCCCGTTACAGTTTCAGCTCAGAGTGGCTCTTGTCTCGATCTCGCGACCGCAGTTTCGCTGGGGTGTGCTGCCTTACCAGAGAAGAGAGAGAAACAGACTTACATGTGGAAAACGTTCAGTAGACAAAGACGTCTGGAATGTCCTAGCCAGGTTTGCAATGGCAAGTGTCGGATGATGCGGTGATTGTACTTGGCTCACCACTTGAGATGACACTCATGAAGGTGTCATTCCAACAACTCAATGCATTGCCTAGGCCTGATGCTGTTGATCTTGGTATGGTGCTGCTTGCACTCTGTCGTGTTAATAACGCATGTAAGTGCCTAAGCCACCACAGTCAAACTCTTGACCATTACGCTCAAGCGTTGTCAGCTGTCTTTTGAACTTACCATCTGGTAGAGAAGATACAAGTACAGTGCGCTTACCAATAACAGTTGGCTGGTAGGAAAGCATGCGGTAGCCATCTCAACACACGGTCGCTGGACAGGGTGTCACAATGATTACCATCTTCGCTCGTATGTTTATCGCATGTGGGATTCTGTATGTACAGTCCCCCCCCATAAGTTATCCCCCCAATGGTATAACCTCTGCTAACTTATACGATTTCGGGTCCACCGACACCGTTTTATGGCGACTATGGAATACGGAAAATGGAATACCCGCCCAGGCCTAAAATTAACGTATCAGGGGGAACAATTTTTATGTCTAGAGTAGATGAATATTGTTTAGAGCATCCTGGAGCCTATTTATGCCATGAATCCAGTGTGGTTTGGATGTATCAGCACTACGAAGTTGGGCTTGAATGCGACGAAGAGCGCGGTGGGGGCGCGGTCTTATTCCTGGGAGAGATCAAGGAGGGAAATGGACAAAGCAAGAGCAGCGATCTTCTCAGCTATGGAATGTGTCACCACCTCCTCCTCAGCTTCTCCTTCCTCCTCCTCCTCAGCATCTTAAACGAGCTTGATGATCTCGGCGTTGTTTAGCTCCGCATACACCGTCGGCTCCTCATCAGCTGGATTGAGCAGTGGCGCAATAGACATCGATTGCGCAAAAGCAGGCGTTGCAGAATTGACTCCATATCCTTCTCCACTTCCTGCTCCTCCTGGTAAACCAGATCTGCATCCTGTTGCACAGGCAGCTGAATGTCCCCTGCTGAAGCGCCTGCTTCAACTGCTGGTAAAGTCGGCCCATTCATGAGTCCAGTGTGCTTGAAGCGATTCGCATTGGTGGTGCTCGAAATCTTGCTCCACGCTATAAGTGACCAACGCATGGCTGTGACTTGATCAACTTTGTAGAGATCGGCCGCTCCCGCATCATCGCGATCCAAAACGTTTTGTAGGTGCAGACGCCGGTAGTGGCGCTTGAATGTAGCGATGATACCGGTGTCCATTGACTGCACCTTGGATGTGGTATTGGGCGGCAGAGCCTGAACGGTGACGTTGGTGAGCACAAGATCCAAAGTTACGTGCGAAGGTGCGTTAACCATAAGCAGAAGGATTTTTTATCCTGGCGCTAGAATCTGGGTAAGTCTTTTGTTTTGCAGCTGATATCTTAGAATTGGCAAATTTTCAATTACCTTCATGTCTCTGTCCAGGTTTCCAAGCCATTCCTGGAAAAGACCCCAGTCATACAGGCTTTTTTGTTGTAGCGATAAAGAAGCCCGAGCTCTTCTCCTGATCCGTTGGAAGCAACGAGGCTTCTTTGCGCGGCCGATGAAGAATGGATGGAGCTTACTAGATTTATCAGCATTTTCCGTCAGCGCCACTGTGATTCGAGTCTGACAAACATGTCAATTATTCCATTAATACCACGGATTCCAACAAGCCAAATGCAACTCACCTTGTCTTTTTTGAAGCCTTCAAATTCCTTCTGGGCAATGGTTTATCCGGTGTAATGCTGTAGAATTATCCTGGAAATAATCTTGGCATTTATGTCACAGAGCATGAAAGACTTCAGGAGAACTTACCGGTTTCGTCCATGTTGTACACATCACGGGAAGCAAACTTGTCGACAGCTGCTTGCAACTCTGGTAGAGCTGCTTCAAGTCCAGCCACATCGGCTGAACCGCTCTCGCCATGGATACGGACGGCCTTTAGCTTGTGGCGCTGCTAGATTTTGTAGAGCCACCCATGGGCAAATTAGATTGATCCATCCGGAATATCCATGGACGTTGCAAAGCTTGCAGCTTTGGCACGGATCAGGTCACCGGTGAGGGCAACTCCACGATGCTTGCACTGCAAAATCCAGAGGGCCACTGCTTCTTCCAAGTAAGGATGTTGAACTGAGCGGGGACGCTTAGCAGAGAGCTCTGATGGACTCATTGCTTTAATCTTCTTGCTCTTGCTGATGATCTTGCTGATTGAGGCCTGCGTCATAGGTTTTAGGAGGCCGAATGCCTTCTTCAACCAGTTTCCAAGATCTGTCTGGGTGAGGCGTGGATGATCATCCTTATGTTTGATGGTCCTCAGCTTCTGGTCGTTGGTGAGACGTAGTTAAGACATCTCTGATGTGTGGGTGGGTAAGTGGGTGGGAGAGTGGGTAGGTGTGGGGTTCTAGGTTTTTTAGGGAAGTTGTTGGTTTGGGAGAGGAATGGAAGTAGACAGGAAGCGAAAGAGGGAAGGTGAGGTGTGGATGTAGAAATGTAGGGATGTTTGGTCGCGGGAGAAAAAGGGTGCCTTTTATACCCTGACCCCCCGGTGGCCAGCCTGCCAGGCGAGTTGCAAAAGGTTGCGCAATCGCGCACAAAATGTAATTGAGGTACAGTACTTTAACTGTGTACGAAAGTACTTTAACTGTGTTTAGTTCAATGACTCAGTTGAGTGTGATACAATCATTAATTGTGTTAAATTAAATGTGTTATAGTTGGATTCGATGCACTCACAAAGACAATGCATTGTACGCACAAGGACTCCATAATTTTCATAGGCGGTGCCCAGACGCGTCCCCCACCAGAAGGGTAAAGAAAATGTTCTGTGGTCCGCTATTTTGGTCTATAAATGACAATCATGATCCTAATACTAAAAGCTATAATTGATTGTACTGTATTGATAAGTGATTAAACAACAATTAATCAGCTTTTTTTATCGTCAATTAATTGATTAATCCCAAATGAAATTACCCCCGATAAGTTATAGGATCTGTCTTCAACCAAGGCTATAACTTATGGAGGGGAGGACTGTACAAGAATATTTGTCAGCAAGTTCACGCACCTTGGGTGTTACGGGGCACCCTGAAGCTTGTACTGGTGACAGTACAAGCTACTTATTCTGATGAAAGAATAAGGCGGTGCCTCGTAACTTCACGTACACTCGTACGTGCAGAGGAAGACGGTAAGAAGAAGCGAGTACTTGGTTAGAGTAAAAGTAGAACTGTATTTATAATAGTTAATGTCTGCAATAAATCACTATTTATCTTCATCTAACTATGTCTAAATACAAATGTGTAAACCAACTATCTGCTCACCACTCATTGCGTACGTCTGTAGTGGCGCGTCTTCGTTAATTGATCCTAATTGGTTGATATATGGCCTATATCAACCAATTAGGAACTACTCGTAAGTGCTACAGAATATTTGTCCTTATGACAATATTCTGAGAATATAACTCTTATAGTTATATTCTATTAGCAATTTCTTATAAATTGTTATGTAACGATTCACCCCGTTACATCACTTCCCCCCCTTAACCATCAGTCACTTTAGTGACTGATTGATAAAATGGATACTCGTCCCAAATCATTTGGGACAGGGTTTGCACTTGTTGGTCCGAGTCCACTTCCCAACATTTCATCGCATCGATATCAAGCCCATGCGTTGCGCGAGCAAGGCCGCCGAGAGCGTGTCCGCACGTCTCTGTGCGGACGCCGAAGCAGAAACCACAGCAACTGATGTCTCATCGGTTGCTGAAGCGACCCAGCCTGTGTCACTTGGTGATGCAGGCGCTCGTCATGAAGACACTCATGTCTTCACAGAGTACGAGCTCGGTGTCTCGTACTCTCCTGATACGGAAGATGGATCCGTATCGACGGCGATCGAATCGAAGCCGCCTGCCAATGGTGGCATGGACGATGCTTTGCGTCGCAGCATCTGTGGTTCATCTGATGAATCAGATGAACCATCGCCAAAGCGAAGGCGCTCGAGGTCGCGAGACTCGGGCGCTAACAGTGGTGTCGGTTCTCCTATGGACACCACTTCACAGCGAGGTGCCAGTACTTCTGTCGGCACATCGCAGGAAGAGCGGGACCGCAATGTGTTGCGTCTCGCTCCTGAGAAGAAGGCATGGATGCCTCCAAAATCCGTCATGGATCACTTGTCGGCGACGACGAGTGATCGTTATCGAACACGATTGTTCGATTCGTCAAGGATCCATCACCTTGACCTCAGTGCGAAAAACTATCGCGCTGAGAATGAATTCTTCATCGATGCTTTCTTCAAACATCGATGGTACATTGGGAATCACAAGCGTGATGGTCCCTCACTGCTTCAAGCGTGGAACGCTTACATCCATAACCTCGAGGATGTAGGTCGTGACGCTTGGAACGACAAACTTATCAAAGCTCGTGATAAGTTTGAAAAGCGAACCCCAACAGGTGCACGCTATAAGCTGCATCGTCTGTCAAGGGAGAAAGGATTACCCTGCCTCTCTTGGGGAGACTCGTGCCCATGTTGTGTGAACAACTCTGCACGAGCACCTAAGGAGGCTTACCTCCTTACTAGCCCGTGGTGGCGCGTACGTATCTCTACTGAGATGTACGAAGGGATTGACAACCTGAAATCCCTTTACGACCGTGCCGGGAAGACTTTCTCCGGCGGTCCTTCTGCGGCACAGGATGTGCCGCGTCGTACTGCTCAACCAGACCCAGCACGTCGATCATCAGTTGGGAGCGGGGCTCCCAAGAATCCCAGGACGGGGGATAGCCGCGCCACCGGACGAGATAACTCGTCCGACGTCCGTTCACGTCGCGGTGGTTCAACAGCTGCTCAACTAGATAGAGCTGGCCACCGCGAGAGTCCTCTAATGGAGGTGGAGGAGGAGGAAAGACGCTCTCCACACGATCATGTGGATCGGTGTGTTCCCGAGAGCTTCTTTGATCGCGTAACGCAAGGGTTACGCGACGATCTCGAACATGAGCGGAATAGGCGTCTCCAAATGGCGGACACTGCCTTGAAGCATCGAGCTGAGTTTGCCTTTGCTCAGCTCGAGAACGAGAGATCTCTGACATCTCTTCGTGACGAGCTAAGGGTAGCTCGTGGGATTGTTGATCGGTCTCGGGATGAGATAGCTGCTCTTCAGACCCTTGTTGATGCCCACCATCGGGAGCACAAGGCTCTCTGCGAGATGCTTGAGCGCAAGGGCGTTCTTCATCGGAAGAAGCAGCGTACTGATGGTACGGCTTAAGCCGACCAACGTAAAACGTGGGATGCGTTCGCATCTTACGTGGTAACTCGATCGTGTATGCATTGCCTAGGCGGTGCAATACACGAAATGGGCCGATGTACTTGGGTAGTAGTTTACTGCTACCCAAGTTAGTCACTACATGCTTTGGTAGATTAACCGTAGACAGTAGGAATAAGTCACCTTTATTAAATAAAAGAGTGTTTGTCCTTCCATTCTTGTCAGCGTGTTGCTTTTGCTTATCCACCGCTTCGACGATGGAGTCTTGCACAAAACGGACTACCGTTTCACGAGCCAGTATGAATTCATCTGATGACTCGTTAGCTTCAGTGTGCTGTGAGCGCACTGCAGCAACATCAACCTTTTCTTCAGTGAGGGCTTCCGCGCTCTCACAGGCATCATCTTCTTCGATATCGATGTTATCGATATCGGCATCAAACGCATTGACCTCTTCGTCAGAGCGTGATGAGCGTGAACCAAATCGGTTTTTGCTCGCGCGAGTCCCTCCCCCCTTAAACCAGAGTTACACTCTAGTAAGGTGGGTACACGCGGATGGCGCAAGCCATTCACGTAAAACGGTGTATGTGTCGTGGACGCATGCACCGAGTTGTTGATGGCAAACTCTACCATCGGCAAAAACTCACTCCAACTCTTAAAGGAGTGTACGTATACTCGAAGTATCTCTTCAAGGACACGAATGGCACGTTCCGTCTGACCATCTGACTCTGGATGATCAGATGTCGACATCTTCAAGCGCGTTCCGAGTGATTTGAACACGGAACGCCAGAAATCAGCAGTGAATCGTGGATCTCTGTCTGATACGAGTTCACGGGGCAACCCATGAAGTCGGAAGATGGTGTCAATAAAGACACAAGCACAGCCACTTGCCGTGATTGACTCTGGTACAGCCACAAGGTGTACCATTTTGCTGAATCTGTCAACAAATACGAGAATACCCGTATTCCCGCGTGCGTCTTTGGGTAACCCGAAGACGAAATCCATTGAGATGAATTTCCAGCACTCTGCCGAAACCGGTAGAGGCTGTAAAGGTGCACGCAGTGAAGGACTTGACTTCATTCGTTGACAGACATCG